AACACAACCTCCTTTACATCTTGAATGTGTTTTGGGGTTTCTATTGCTGTGAAAAAAAAAGCAATATAACTAAAAGCAACTTGAGGAGGAAATGGTGTATTTCATCTTACAAATCTTATCACTGAGAGAAATCAGGGCAAGAACTCAAACAGGGCAGCATCCTGGAGACAGGAGCTGATGTAGATGCCGTGGGAACAGTGCTGCTTACTGGCTTGCTCCCCATGGCATGTTCAACCTGCTCTCTTATAGTACCTAGGACCACCAGCCCGGGGTGGTGCCACCCCAATGAGTTGCGCACTCCCACACCAATCACAAATTGAGAAAATGCCATACAGGCTTGCCTCCAGCCTGATCTTATGGAGGCATTTTCTCAGTGGGTGTTCCCTTCTCTCAGATGACTCTAGCTTGGGTCAAGTTGACAGAAAAATGAGCCAGTATGAATGTTTACGTGTTTTATGTTCTAAGTGAACTGTTGTTCACAAAATAGCAGTCTCCCAGATTTCCCAAGACCCTGAGCCTAAGGCACCAATTGAATTCAGTCTGAGTGTGCTACTAATTTATGTAAACAATTCCAGATTTCCATGGGAAGGTGATAGCTTTTCTCACCCTGGATTGTCTCTGAAGGCAGAGGTGACTTGGACATCAATTTCAAGCTCAGGCTGAGAAATACCTGTAAAGGCACGAACACATACCTAGGCCAAATGGCTGCAGCTGGCTCGATGCAGTTGCTTTCCTTATGGGCTTCCAAGTTCTGTGGGTGTGGTGGCTGTGTCTGGTGAGCTCAGCTCTGGCTGTATGCCCACTCAGAATACTGCAATCTCCTCTCTTGGACTGAGCCAGATCTTTGCTTTGAATTACAATGGCACATGGAGAACAGTCAGTTGGATTCTGACTTTTGTTCTTTACTTAGGTTAACTCAAACCATTCCTTTCATTTCCTTTCTTGTCTCTGTCTCTCTGTGTCTGTCTCTGTCTGTCTGTCTGTCTGTCTGTCTGTCTGTCTGTCTGTCTGTCTCTGTCTCTGTCTCTCTCTCTCTCATGTGTTCTCTAAAAGAAACTTTTGGAAACCCAAGTTCTAAAGATGATTCCCAGCATTAGAAAGTGCAGAAAACAAGGGAAGCATGACTGAATTGTCGGTGAGAGTATTTGTGCTCATTTCTTTGCAACCCTCCAACATGAGGGAGAAAACCAGGTCTAATGACAGTAGACTTATGTATATGACATAAGACCTAGTAGGAAAGGGTTTGGTCAAATGATGGGTGAATGGCCAGAGAAAATCTGAGGATGTGTGTGTAGTGGAGTATTAGTCACCCTGAAAAAGGAAGGAAATCTTGCCAATCTTGCCATTTTTGATAACAGATGAATCTGGAAGACACCATGGAAGTAAAATAAGCCAGAGGCATAGCCACAAATGTTGCATGATCTTAAAGCAGGAGTTAGCTCATGCTAAGCAGGAAGGGAAAAGATTTGTTGATAGTTATTTTATGTGTACAAATGGTTTGCCTGAATGTATGTGTGCATATCATGTATGTGCCTGGTTCTCTTGGAGGTCATAAGAGGGCATTAGGTCCCTGGAACTAGAGTTACGGGTGTTTGTGAGCCACCATGCAATTGTACAGAATGTCAGCAAGAATGAGTGCTTTAACCGCTGAACCATCTCTCCAGCCCTAAGAAAGTCCATTTTACTTGAAACCTTGGGGCTGTCCATTCTCTGCAGTGTTAGATGTTTTCCCCAAGGAAATGCCAGGCTCCTCACCAAGGGCCTGGTGACAATGGTGACAATGATTTCTCAAAGATAATGACTGAGGTGCCCAGAGGAATTCTTTTCCAACTAGTGTCTCATTCTTCATTCTTGACCACTAAGTTTCCTTCTCACACACCATGAAGAGCTCCAAGGGTCCTCCAAGGGCCCAGAAGTCACAGAGACTGATGAACTTTGTGCACTTTTGCAAGGGGCTGCTAAACCGAAGTTGCCTCTTCTGGACCTGGCTCTGAGGGCTCTACAAATCAGGAGAATAAAGAAAAGATCTAGATCCACTAGCCCTTGAAGATAGATAGATTCTTTCTCATTTTGTAAATAAACTGCTCAACATCTACCATGACTTTTAACCTTCTGTTATGGGAAAAAAGGGGAGGCCCTTTTTCTGATCTGGGAATTGTGGGGTATCTGTCATCACAAAAGCCAATCCTAGTGTCAGGCCTGGTAACAGACAACTGATTGCAACAGTAGGTGGGGCCATGGGCTGCTGCCTAGGCAAGTTCTGTGAGCTCTCTGAAGAGGCAAAAGGGTCTAATCAAAACCCTGAAGGTAGGTAGGCTTAGAGTCACAACACAGACTCAGGTAACAGGAGAGAGGGATGACCTGAGGGATGACCTGAGCTCTGGATGGTTGGACTAGGCGGTGGCAGAGCTGAGCTCACCAACTGCGCAGTCCTCAGGTATCACTAACAAAATTTGGATTTCCGTAGGCCACGGACATCCCAAATCCAACGATAGCCTTTTGATCACCGTGTTGTGACGACGGCTTTCTATGTTTAGCAGTCGGAGCTCCACAAGGCCAAACAGGAAGTGATCTGACCAGGTTGAAAAGTAGGACAAGCTGATCTAGGAGGCCAGATAAGATGAGAGCCAGGAGGGGCTGGTGACGCCTTAACTCCAGCCTTAACCTCAGTCCACCCCAGCATCTAAATGATAAACAACATGGATCTGCCAAAGCACTCATCATAAAATAGGAGATCCAGAAAGAGCTGGAGAAGCCTTGATTCACAACTTTGCCTGCAGTGTGCCCCAACATCTGGACAGCAAAAGGAACAGCTTGAATCTGCCAAAGCATCATTCCCCTGTCTACTGCCAGCTCCTTGAGCCATGAACACCCAGGGGTGGCGGGCTCTTCCTAAGAAGTAACGTTTTAAGTGTCATCAATGGCAAAAGCAAAATAGAATAAAAGGAACAACAACAACAAAAATTGTGAGGTGACAGATATTTTCATTGCGCTAATTTTAGTTATTTCATTATGCATGTATCTATCAAAATATCTAGCCAGGTACTTTATTTTTGTTCTGTTTTATTTAAGTTAGAAACAATCTTATTTTACATATCTATCCCAGTTCCCTGTCCCTCCCATCCTCCCATGACGCCCACTGACCCCCCATCCCACCCCCATCCACTCCCCAGGGAGAGTGATAGCCAGGTACTTTAAATATACAGAAGGTCATCTTATCATGTATTCCATAAAGAAAAAAATGATACCTAGTATTTATTAAACCCATTAATGAGGTTGAGTCGTTTTTAATTTGTTCATTTTACAAGTTCATATGTAGAATACAGTGCATGGGGGAACTTAGGCTAAGTGACTTAGCCAAATCCCTGTAATTAGGAAACACCAGGCCTGGGGGTTAGTCTGATCTGGGACCTGGGTCCTAGTCCTAGTCTTTTCTGAAAAGAAAACTGGTATGGTGCAAATCCCTTACCTCCCAGGGAGGCTGTGAAGACCATGTGCACCTACCTATAGCTGGCACACAGGCAAGATTCACTTAATGGAGAGCCATTCCTTTTTTGACATTCACGAAATTTGTTCTTTGTCTTACATGCACATAATTCATTCTGATTATTCTCCAACCACCTTTTGTTATCTCCTCCCCACTCTTCCTTGCAAATCGCTTTCCTACATGCATATCTATTTGTTTCGTTTTGTGACACACTGAATTTAACCAGGACCATCCGTGTGACCGTGGAGCTATCCACTGCAGCCTGGTGGGTTCAGTAGTGGGTAGATGACTAAAGACCATGACTGTCCCTCTTACAGACCCCTTCGGTAGTATTGCTAACAGTTTATCAGTGAGAGTTGGGGCTAGGAGGCCTGGAGCCATGTTGTGTGGAGCAGGTTTCACTTAGCTGCCAGCGTGCACATCTGTTTGCATCTCCTTCTTCTGGTCGAGCAGTGGGAATGCTCCAATGCAAGCACTGGAGGGTATGCCAACTCTATTAGCTTGGGGCAATTGGGCAGGGAGCTCTTGACAATTTAAGGCTCTGGTAGATGAGTCCTTTTGGAATTAGTTGTGTGTTTACAAATTGGTCCTATGGGACTGCTATAGCGCTAGAAATCCAGCAGTTGCTATGAAAGTGCTTTCAGTGATTCAGATTGCAAGGGAGAGAAACATCCCTTGTAGTGAGCCATAAATGTCTCAGCATATAAAAGCTTCCATTACTTCGATGAGCAGTTCCTAGCCCCAACAGTATTAAGGCTCACTCAATCCTGTAAAATCTGGTATGTGGCATATGGCACTTGTCCCCAGGTCCAGGTACTGCAATGTGGAGCAAATACAAAATCTGATACTTGGGAAACTGAATGACGAGTCACAATAACCATTTTCCCTCTAGCTTTGAGATCTCCCTTGTTGAAAAACAGAGAAACATAGTACAGGAAAGTGGGGAAAGCAGAAGGAAACAGTAGGGTCTTCTTTGTCTCTTTTATATGAGACATAAATCCATGAAGCACTTCATTTACCAAATCACTCTTCTGCTCAAGAACTCTCAATAGCTCTCACCCCTAGTACTGATTCCAGACACTTCACCCTCTTGTTTTTTTGTTTTCTGTTTGTTTTTCTAGACAGGGTTTCTCTGTGTAGCTTTGGAGCCTATCCCAGCACTCGCTCTTGAGACCAGGCTGGCCTCGAACTCACAGCGATCCCCCTGCCGCCTGCCTCTGCCTCCCGAGTGCTGGGATGAAAGGCATGTGCCACCAACACCGGGCTCACTTCACCCTCTTTTTCATAGTTGTACTCCCTACTTTACTGGTTACTTGTTAGTGTTTTTTTTTCTGATTACTTTGTTATTGTTTTTCATTCAATTCATATTGTTTTATATGAAGTATATGCTGTGCACTGGACTGTTACCCAGCCATGCCTGGTGCCTGTTTATTTTGCCAATAGGCCTGTCCACACTCCAGGTACTCTATTGCAAATGTCTTCCCTTCTCCTCTCATCATCTCTAAAGCCTCCCTTAATTACAGCCTGGCAGGGGAGATATATGATCAGGAGGGTGGTTTTTCCTCTGAGTGAGGCTTATCCCGTACACACAGCTGTGGTGACCCCTGGGATTTCCCCAAATGTGGGAAAAGGGATAGCATAATTTGTGGTAATATGGGAAATGAAACATTAAATATAAAAATAAAATAAAACAAAAATATGAAATTTCCCTGTGTGCCCAACCCTTAGTAATGATTGGGAGCTCAGGACCACCTAGCTAGCTTGGAAGCAAGCTGAGTTGTAGTCAGAATTATCTGTTTGAACCCTGTGGATGACAGGGAAAAGAGCCCTGGAAGTAACAATGATCTTACAGGAGAGGATTGATTTAATAATGAAGATGTGGGGGATGGAAGAGCCGGGGACGTATCTCAG